GCCGCCGGCCAGCCGGGCGTAGCGCGCGAGCAGGTCGTCGGCGTCGGCGGCGGGCGCGGCATCGGCGGGCGAGGGGCCCGAGAGCGGCGCGGAATGGGCGGTGCGGTCGAGGGTGACGGTGGACTTGCGGAGGGCGTTGAGGCGGGCGAGGAGGGCGTCGTCGTCGTCGTCCACGGCGGCTGGGGAGGGCATGGTCGGGCGGTCGCGGTGGGGAGGTATGTGTAGCTTGGGCGAGGAGAAGTCTAGGTAGCGCTCGGGGGCTGGCGGGCGGACGGCTGAGGCCGAGCACGCGCGCGGCGCCGAGGGAAGTCGTCATGGTGCCTGCCCCTCGTTTCGCGCCGGACCCTGCCAGATGCTTGCCGGGCCCTGGCAAAGGGAGGAGTAAAACACGTCGGATGCAAAATAGAGGGGCCCGTTGAATGGGAGCAGATGCCAGGCTCGTTGCATGCGGCGGATTCCGCAGCGGAAATACGTAGAAAGGGGAAAGGCGTGCATTTCCGCTCCAGGATTCGCGCGCTGGAGGGGCTGGGCTGCGTCCGGCACCCCGTTCGCGGCCTGCGGCTCGTCCGCTGCTTGTCGCTCAGGCTACGTCCCCGTGCTGAAGCTGCTGCTCCTCTCCGTCCACTCGCTCTGCCGCCCAGTGCTCCGCCGACACAGCGCTCTGTTCTGCGTTGCCCCCGTGAGTCGTGACGAGAGGAGACGCAGCCGGCCACTGGCGACGGCGCGGGATCCGGCCACGAGCTCGCCGCGTGTCGCCGTGTCGTGCGTCTCGTCCACGCACGCATTCACTCGCACAAATCAGCAGGCCGGCGCCCACCGACCGCGCGGCGGCACACGGCGGTTGTCCGACCGGCAACGACTCCTGCGTATGTGCGTGCAAGACGCGGGCTCCCCGCCCTGGCGCTAGGCACTCGCTCCGCTAGCTCTGCCACCTCTGCCTGGCCGGGCCCTGCCGCGCGCCTCATCCAAGTCAAAGCCTCGCCCTGCCGCCCGCACCCGCGCGACCTGGCCCGCCCAACCTCACCTCCCCACCCTCCGGCAGCACGGCATTCCCCCAACGCCAGCAACGCGGCATCCGCGCCACCAGCCACCCGCCTCCTTCTCCGCCGCCCGCGCCCTCTCCGCACCGCGACGCCTTCTGCCTTGCTTGCCCTCTTTTCGCTGCCTCACGCCCCGCGGTCTCGCCTCTGCCTGCCCGCCGCCGCCTGCCGCCCGCACGCCACCGCACGCACGCACGCACGCACGCGCCGTCGTCAATCCAGACCCCGACACACCCTCCCCGACCGCCTTTCCCACGCGCCCTCGCAACGCCCATTTCGTCGCCGCGCCGGGTCCCTCCTCCCCTCAGCCTCGCCTGTGATTCTTCACTCTGCGCCGCGAGTCCCCGGACCCGTTGTCGCACAGCGAGCTCGCCCCGCCACCACCACCACCACCACCACCACCACCACCACCACCACCACCGCCGCCGCCGCCGCCGCCGCGCATCACGCATACTGACGCGCCTCCCTCGCCGCAAACCCGCGTCGTGCCCACGTCGCCGCAGCCGCTTCCGTCCGGCCGGTGACTAGAGCGCTGCACCTCTTCTTCTTCTACCTCCTTGTCGGAAACATGGTGGAAGCGGAGGGAAACCCCACCACGTGGAAGTTCACGCAGTACGTCTCGCTTGCTTTGTTTGTTCCCTTTGCTCTGCACGCCGCCTCGGTCCCCGCCGGCGAGGGCCATGGCCCGGTCCCCCGCCTTCGTCCGTCTGTCCCGTGCTTGCCGCCGGCTTCCCACTTCCTCCGGTCCGCTGGGCGAAATGGTCGAGCAAGAGAGAGAGGAAGAGAGCGAGAAACGGAGAGAGCAGAGTGGGCTGTCCACCTGCCGTGCTGCCGCATGCTGCCATTCTGGAGGGCCCCCGAGATAGAATGTTTGCTGACGGCGCGCTAGATGCTTCGGTGATAAAGGCGATGTAGAAGATATTACAGAAGGTATGTCTCTTGCCTCGCACGCGCTAAACCCGCCAGCCAACCCGCAAGCCGCAAGCCGGGAAATGAAATATTTCATGCCGCACTCCCCTCGCTTCCCTAGATTAGTGGCGCGCTTTTGTTGCAAGAGGCTCGAGCGACTAACTGGCTCCTGGTTGCCGCAACAGCGGATATCATCTCGACGGTCGAGTTCGACCAGACAGGCAACTACCTGGCCACGGGCGATAAGGGCGGCCGAGTCGTTCTCTTCGAACGGAATGAAACGGTACGTCTCGGGGCCAGATTCACCGCCTCCCAGCTGCCTCCCGGCTCCCTCAATTACGTCGCTATAATCCTTACTCGCTAACGCGATGCGCTTGCGGCAGAAAAAAACTTGCGAATACAAATTTCACACCGAGTTCCAATCCCACGAGCCCGAGTTCGACTACCTCAAGTCGCTAGAGATAGAAGAGAAGATCAACAAGATAAAGTGGTGCCGGCGACAGAACGCGTCCCACTACCTGCTTTCGACCAACGACAAGACTATCAAGCTATGGAAAGTGTTCGAGAAGTCGCTCAAGGTGGTGGCTGAGAATAACCTCTCGCACGAGCTCACGCCGGGAGGCGCCGGCGTGGCTGGTGCCGGAGGACCCGTTAGACACCCAACGCCGCACTTCCACTCCGCCGCCGACCTCAAGCTTCCCCGCCTGACGCACCACGATACCGTCGTTGCGGCCGTGCCGCGCAAAACATACGCCAACGCGCACGCCTATCACATCAACAGCATCAGCGTCAACAGCGACGGCGAGACCTTCATCAGTAGCGACGACCTGCGCATCAACCTGTGGAACCTCAACATCCAGGACCAGAGCTTCAACATCGTCGACATCAAGCCGGCCAACATGGAGGAGCTGACCGAGGTTATCACCGCGGCCGAGTTCCACCCGATAAGTTGCAACTGGTTCATGTATGCGAGTTCCAAGGGAACCATCAAGCTTGCCGACATGCGCGAGAGTGCCCTGTGCGATCAGCATGCGAAGCGTAAGTGGACTTTCCACCTTTCCCTCCAGTCCCGCGTCAACCCCCTTCTTCTCATTCTCATTCTCCCCTCGATCGTGGTTTCTTGATTTCCAAAAAAAAACGGTACTACATCCTGCTTCGATATCTCACCAGAATTCGGCCCGGTAGAGTTCGAGCAGGAAGAGGACCCGTCATCGCGCTCCTTCTTCTCCGAAATCATCTCGTCGATATCCGACGTGCGCTTCTCGTACGACGGGCGGCACATCCTGTCGCGCGACTACCTGACGGTCAAGATCTGGGACGTGGCCATGGAACGGCAGCCCGTCAAGACGATCCCGATCCACGAGCACCTCCGGCCCCGCCTCTGCGACACGTACGAGAACGACTCCATCTTCGACAAGTTCGAGGTGGTCTTCTCGGGCGACGCCAAGAATGTCATGACCGGCTCCTACAACAACAACTTCATGATCTACCCGTCGGACCCGGAGAAGGATACGGAGGTCGTGCTCCAGGCGGATAAGAGCGCCTTCAAGGCGAAGAAGGTCGGCGTGCCGACGCCCATGAATGCGAGCGCGACGAGTCCGACGGGCGGCGGGGGCGGCAAACGAGGTGGTGGCTCCCGCGCGGGCAGTCCCGCGGCTGGCGGCGTCAGCGCCGCCCAACGCATGCGGAAGGAGACGGACGCGGATCAGATCGACTTTAACAAGAAGATTTTGCACATGAGCTGGCACCCGTTCGAGGATAGCATAGCGATTGCGGCGACGAACAACGTGAGTATATTTAGGGCGGGGGCCCCCGACCTTCCTTTCCTGATTGGCGCCAGAAGAGATTCCGATACTGATTTTGGATGTTCCTTGTCGACGATGCAGCTCTTTGTTTTCTCGGCATTGTAGACTGGGTCTGAATTTTATATCCCGCTTTCCACCCAACCGCGTGGTTTTACCTCGGACGAGTATTACAGCGATTTCGCCCGCCACCCCCCCTCTTTCCCTCTCTCCGAATGCGGCTGCTCTTCTTTTCTTCATAAAGGGTGGGGTGAAAGAGAGCACGGGCGTGGAAAATGGATGGATGGTTAAGAAAGACTTCCTTTTCTTTGCTTGCGGGGTGGTACACCTGGACGGATCCTGAGCGGAGCCTTTTCCTTGCGGTAGAGGTGGAGGGAAAGACGTGGATGGAGACTCGGATGCTAGCCCTTCGACGCGGATATATTTGCTTAATTCTTGGGTCCGCGCTCGAGGAGCTGGCAACCAGGCTGCAGGTTGAGGGGACGGCTGGGACTGGGACTTGGGAGTGGCTAGGCGGTGCGGGTAGTGGGTAGTGGGTTGGTTGCTTCATTTTTCATTTTCACGAGTCAGTCAGAAAGGTGATGGGGTTGGTAGGTAGGTAGGTAGTAGAGAAGCTGCCGGCTGGAGCCCCTTTTATATTTTTTTTTCTTCTTCTCTGGTCGTCCGTCAGATTTGAACTGGTTGATGAATGACCTGTTGAGGGTAGGGAGGAAGGAAAGGGGCTTTGGCTGCGCTGCACAGGAGGCTGGAGTGATGACGAACACATTTTTTTTCCGCCTTTTTAGACTGCCCTGGTAATTCGTATTGCTGCGGAAGTGAGTGAGTGCTTTGCGGATGATCGCTCTTGCTGCTGCGCCACGAGCACAAATCGCTGCCACCGCCGCTAATAACGCCCGTCATCCTGGGGCAGAGTGGACGCATAGATGATGAGCCGATGGACGCACGGCACGCGATGGGATACATAGGCGTTGGCGGCCCCCGTCAAATGCAATTGATACTCGTGCGCACTGCTTAATTTGCTCCCGCCCTGCGTGCGGAATGCCTAGGCTCGCGTGCCCGCGAAGTGCCTGCTTCGGCATTGCCGTGACCGTTTCGGACGAGTGGTATGGGTTCCTAAACGGCAGGTCTCGGTGTAGTCGGGGACTCGAGCTAGGCCCAAATAGACAAGAGGGGGTCGTTGGGAGGGCGGTTCTTGGCGGCAAAATTTTAGCTGTTATAGTTTCAAATGTTGTTTTGCATTTGCATGAATGGGGTTGTGGCGTAGTTGGGAGCGCGTTAGACTGAAGGCGCTAGAACGGTCTTCTGGTTATCTAAAGGTCACCGGTTCAATCCCGGTCAACCCCATAACGTTTTGACTTTTTTCTTGTCTCCTTTTTTTCGTTGTTCTGTTTTCTTCAACCTTCTTTGAAAATGCTTGCCTTTTTTTCGCCCTTGATTGGACAACGGTGATTTGTCGAAGAACGCTCTTCCTTTCTTTAGCCAGCTACCGACATAGCTGAGGGTGGGTGCGGCAGGGGTCGTGGCCGGGCAGTCGCGTGGCCGCTAGCCCTACGGGGCCGAAGCGAGCGAGCCGCCTGCGAGTGCCTGGCTGGACCCCGGGCTGGCGCTAGTGGCCACGTCCCCTTAAGGTCGCCGGCGCTGATGTCAGTCTGGTCCATACAAAAGGGAGTGTTGCCCTTTTCTGGATTTGTTTGACAAGTGGCTCGGACTTCCTATGACACGCCCAGAGCACGCAGCATACATGTAGTACAGCTGTACTAAGGCTTGGTGGCACAGCTTTCAATCCACAGTAACTACTTGTCAGCGGCTTGAGTCCTTGTATGTACCTTGGTGGGCAACTGGCTGACATTTCGAGCCACGTCCTTGCGCCATGGGGCAAATGCTAATTGGGCGCACGTAGACATTTACTCCGCTACTACCCACAACAAGCAGACCGAGAAGCGTATTGCTCGGTACATAACGGCTGTACTTCGGGTCCTCGGGCTGCGGTTCTTAAAGTCAATCTACGTGGAACTTGAATAAGCTGTTCGTACAGTCAAGCTATAGGAACATATTCCGGCCAATTCGCTCTCTAACGCTTCCGGTAGCCTCGCGGACTTATACGGAACGGTCTTCTTGGCATACCTGATTCCGCAGTTGACCACGCTTTGGGATTAGGCCTAGGCTTCGAGCCTACTCCAACCACGATGATACCTGGGCTCCTGGAGCTCGGTATCGTCTCCCTTATCTTTGGAGGATGTTGCTCAAACGTAACTCAAACGGGCCCTCACGTATGGAAGTCGGGCTATCTTACTTACAGCTCCCATAGGTATTCGCACTCGAAGCTATTGTAAAGTGAGTTTCCCGAAGATTTTCGGATCCACCTCAACTTGCTCCGCACTCGAAATCACGTGGGCTTCGAACTAACGCGCAACAACAGACAAGAACCCGATAGTGGTTCGTCACTCCCAAGACCTCCAGTCGGAATCCACGAACCCACTGACTCGTCTCCCTATAGGGCTCCTCATAACCTTCTTCCAATTCCTCCTGACCATGCTCTTCGCGCTGCCCTCCCAGCTCGACCCTACGCGTCCTCCGTTCTTCATCCAGAAAAGCGCCGTGCCCTTCCGCAAGTGGGCCGCCAGCGCGAGCATGTTCTTCGCCGTCAATATGCTCAACAACTGGGCGTTCGCGTTCCAGATCTCGGTGCCGGTGCACATCATCCTGCGCAGCTTCGGCAGCGTGACAACCATGGCTGCCGGCTGGCTGCGCGGCAAGACGTACTCGCGGGTGCAGGTGGCGAGCGTGGTGGTGTTGACGGTTGGGGTAGTGGTGAGCGCGTGGGCGGACGCAGTGGCTAAGGTACACAGGCCCTGGTTCAACCATGAGATGTCCCTTCCCCCCCCCTCCCCCCCCCCCCCCCCCCCCCCCCCCCCCCCCCCCCCCCCCAAAATCTCCTGCGCGCTCGCCTTTCTTTCTGTGTGCGTGCTGACAGAGGGCCTCCCCCTTGCCGCACCTCAGGGCAAATCCATGAGCACCTCGTCCATCGACCTCACCTCGGCCTCGTTCGAAGCCGGCCTCCTCATCCTTCTCGTCGCCCAGCTCCTCTCCGCCTACATGGGCCAGTACGTCCAGGACATCTACGCCGCCCACGGCCGCTGCTGGCAGCAGAACCTCTTCTACTCGCACTTCCTGTCGGTGCCGCTGTTCGCGCCGCTGGCTGGCACGCTGCGCGGCCAGTACGCGCGGCTGGCGCGCTCGACGCCGCTGCTCGACTACGTCGCGCCGCCGCAGGTCGAGCTGGTCGAGCCCGACGCCTTCTCGGCCGGGGAAGGCTCGGCCGCGCTCGCGCTCGCGAGGCGCCTCCTCGCCCGCACGCCCACCAGCCTCGCCCTGCTGCTGGCCAACGCGGCCACGCAGCTGCTGTGCATCAGCGGCGTGAACGTGCTGAGCGCGCACAGCTCGGCCGTCACCGTGACCATCGTGCTCAACGTGCGCAAGCTGGTGAGCTTCCTGTTCAGCGTGTGGTTGTTTGGGAACGAGATGGGCGGGCAGATGGTGGTCGGGGCGGTGCTGGTGTTTGGCGCGGGGGCGTTGTACGGGTGGGAGACGAGCGTGGGGATCAGGCGAAGGAGGGCGGAGGAGGAGAAGGGGGGGAGGGAGAGGGGGAAGAAGGGAGAGTGAATGAAAGGGTTGGAAATGGGATGGGAGCGGTTTATCTACGGGATGCCTTTTGAGTTTGCTGATATTGGTGGACCTCTCACGAACGTAGCAAGCTAAAGTCATTTGCATCACGTATTGTAGGATATGAAAAGGAAGGATAGAGCAATGCAATTGACGTCCTCAAGCGTTTCCGTCCATGAATAGCAGCGCCAAGGCGGCGCTGGCGGAGCGGAGCGGAGAGGGAACGCAAGGGGCGCGCGGGACGGCGGAGGACCAAGCGGGCGGGTCTCGGGAGGCGTTTGTTGGTGCGGCGCGGCCAGGGGCCAGCCACCCTGGCGCCTTCGGCGAACCGACACCTATCCTGAAAGCTCGCAGCTCCCCTCGCTATCGCCGCCCTTTTTTTCTTTTCTCTTCAATCCGCACTTTTGCCGGCGCTTGGATTGCTGCTTCAGTCTTCCCTCATTGAGGGTGTTCTTCACTGGTGAGCAACGCGAATCTCGGAATCCTGGATCAGTGGATTCTTTTCCTGACTCGCTCTCCGCCCGCCCCGTGCCCACTGCTAAACATATCCCCCCTCGGTGATCTGCAGAATACCACAGCCTTACGACCGGCCGGCGAACCGCAACACTTCCCGCCATGTCATCGCCGGCGCCGTCCAGCGTGCGGCATCGCGGCGGCAACGCGAGCTCCAAGAAACGCGGCACGACGCCCAACCCGGAGACGCGCGACGTCGACATGGACGTGCTGAACAAGGCGCACGCCGATGCCCAGGCCGCGCAGCCCTCGTCGGAGTGGGACTACAAGGTGGCGTTGGGAATCATCACCATGATGTCCTTCGTGACGCGCTTCTGGGGCATCAACCACCCGAGCCAGGTCGTCTTCGACGAGGTGCACTTCGGCAAGTTTGCCAGCTACTACTTGCAACGGACCTACTTCTTCGACGTGCACCCGCCCTTCGGCAAGCTGCTGTTCGCGCTGGCCGGTTGGCTGGTCGGGTACAACGGCGAGTTCCTGTTCGAGAACATCGGCGACTCATACATCACCAACAAGGTGCCGTACGTGGCGTACCGGGCCATGCCGGCCACCATGGGCGCCCTGACAGTCCCCACCGTCTTCCTCATCATGTGGGAGAGCGGCTACTCGCTGCCGGCATGCGTGACGGCCGCCGGCCTAATGCTCTTCGACAACGCCCACATTGGCCAGACGCGCCTCATCCTGCTAGACGCCACCCTCGTCTTCTTCATGGCCCTGTCCGTGCTCTGCTACATCCGCTTCTACAAGCTGCGTCATGCGCCCTTTGGCCGCAAGTGGTGGAAATGGCTGCTCTTGACGGGCGTCTGTCTCTCCTGCGTGATCTCGACCAAGTACGTCGGCGCCTTTACCTTCTTTAGCATCGGCGTACCGGTCGTCATCGACTTGTGGGACCTCCTGAATGTGAACCGCCGCCAAGGTGCCCTCAGCCTGCCGGAATTCGGGAAGCATTTCGCTGCTCGCATGACCGGTCTCCTTGTTGTGCCTTTCCTGATCTACTTGTTCTGGTTCCAGGTGCACTTCACGATCCTGTCACGCTCGGGTCCCGGCGACGACTTCATGACCCCCGAGTTCCAGGAGACGTTGAGTGACAACGTGATGACGTCCCAATCCATTCCCATCGATTTTTACGACGTCCTTACCTTCAAGCACAAGGAGACCAAGGTGTACCTACACAGCCACCCAGACCGTTACCCGTTGCGCTACGAGGATGGCCGCATTAGCTCCCAGGGGCAGCAGGTCACCGGATACCCGCACAACGACACCAACAACCACTGGCAGATCATGCCTGGAAAGCCGTTGCCGGAAGGCGTGGAGACGCGCCGGGTCAAGCACGGCGACATCGTGCGGCTTCGGCACGTGGTCACCGACACGATACTGCTGACGCACGACGTGGCTAGCCCCTACTACCCGACAAACCAGGAGTTCACCACGGTGAACCACGCTGACGGCGACGGTCAACGTTACAACGACACGCTGTTTGAAGTCAGGATCGAAAACGCCAAGAGCGGGCAGGAATTCCGGACGAAAGCGTCGCACTTCAAGCTCATCCACTACCCGAGCAAGGTGGCCATGTGGACGCACACGACGCCGTTGCCGGACTGGGCCTACCGCCAGGCCGAGATCAACGGCAACAAGAACGCGGTACAGAGCTCCAACGTGTGGCTGGCCGAAGAAATACCGTCGCTGCCGCCCGACAGCGACCGGCTCAAGAAGGAGGAGCGCGTCATTAAGCACGTCCCGTTCCTCAAGAAGTACTTCGAGCTCCAGCGCGCAATGTTCTACCACAACAACGCCCTCACCAGCTCCCACCCGTACGCGTCCTTCCCCATCAGCTGGCCCTTCCTTCTCCGTGGCGTCAGCTTCTGGACGAACAACGACACAAAGCAGCAGATCTACTTCCTCGGCAACCCGGTCGGCTGGTGGCTCGCGAGTTCGGTGCTCGCCATCTTCGCCGGCATCATAGGCGCGGACCAGCTAGCGCTGCGACGAGGCGTGGATGCGCTAGACGAACGTGAGTGTCCGACCCTACCCTTGCATTTCCTTGCTTCCATGCCTTTTTCCTTTTTTTTTATTTTATTTTGAGTATGAACAGATGTCTTTCAAGCTAACACAGCAGTATCTCCGCCCAGGCACGCGCTCCCGCCTCTACAACTCGACCGGCTTCTTCT